ATATTTCTTGTTTCGGTCTTTAACAGATTTCTACATATTAGACTATTTATCATAAATACTGGCAGAAGTTCCAGTTTTCCTGCACAGTGTTGTTGTAGCTGCTAAAGGGAACAACCCTCCTTGAACAAACACGACTTTTAACTCGTTGTCTCACCTGGATTTTCAGCAAACAGCCAAACATTCATGTGTTTTGTCATTGCAGCTGATTGTGACGGATCCAGCTACATCCCTGTCATGCATCAGAAAGTCATCCTACCTGCCATTATTTGGGTTGTGGCTTTTCCGACATGTAAATGTGAGTTTCAGCTCCATATGTATGTACGGCTCCTTGTGGAGTTACAGGAAGAACTGTGCAGCAGTCCTGTCTGCTGCTTTGTTCTTTGTTCTTGGCTGTTTAATGAAACACTGTCCAGATACATGTTTGAGTTTCATCTTCAACATGCTGCTGTGCTTTTATGTCCTGTTTGATTTTAGACTCTAATCACAAGGATGAGATGACAAACCGTGCAGTGAGGAGAAGACAGACGTGGATGTCACATAAACTCAAACCGTGTCTTAGAAACGTAGGAGATAAAACAACAAGGGGGAGAAAGACAATAAAGCTTTGAAAAGAACATTTTGCAGAGTTTCTCATTTAAATGTGGTTTTGGGATTTGTTTTTTTTTGGTATAATCTGAGATCAAGTTCATTCTGATGTTCAAGTTTCAGTCCAACATGTTAACAGGAGCTCACGTTGTTTCCAAAGATGTTCTGAGAAAGTTCTGTAAAGTTCTACTCATGTTTTCAGTTTACTTTAGTTCCCACAATATTCTTCTTAAAGGTGGAAAACCTACAGACGTTCAGAAATGTTTGGTGGTCACATGGTTCCACAGTTTCCCACTGTAGTGTTGAGTCTAATGAGGGCATTAAATGGGCCTGTTTGAATCAGTCAGCAGCTGGAGTCCATCAGATCTGCTGACGAGAGGTTTGGTGGTCGTGACGAGAAGAACATTTGACCAACACAACTTCCTACATCAACAACATCACTGATCATTCAAGTTGATGTTTGTATATTGATAACCCAGCAGACTTTTTCATATTTCCAAAAGACCTTAAATAAATCTATGATTAAGACAAAATACATGATTGATTGATTGTTTGTTTTTGTTTTTTGTGCCAAATGTGTTTCAATGATTCCATCATAGAAAGTTTGGACTTATACGAATCATAGGAAACTGAAGACTGCTGTGATTAAACATACAAACTCTTTACAAGTTTATGTAAACTTTTGTTTCATTTTAACATCTTAAAAAATTAAATCTCTCAGTTCTAACTGTTGAAATACACATGTAGTTTATAATCTCACCTTAAACTGTGGTGTATCTAGACTGCATTGTTTGTAATCCTTCTTTCAGTTTTTCTACTTCTTTTTTTGTGACAAATCAGCACCCCACATTAAAATGTTAAAGATTAACAGTCATCCCATTCCAAAAATGCAAATAACATCCACATTAAAAATCATTATTTTTTGCAAATGGTATTTAAAATGATTTAAAGTATTTAAATCTGTTAAAACTGTAATTATTTTAAAGATATGTGGTGTTATTTTCACTATTTTCCTTCACTACAGCTTTTGGACAATTAAGTATTCTGCAGTTTATTAAATGTATTTTTGTGGCCTTGTTGTCAATTCAATTTTATTATTTTTTTTCCCCCAGTATCGTAAAATTATATTTACATTGTGCTATAAGTTAATGATTCAAATGACTTTAAAAAAATAAAAAAATCTTATATATTATTTTATAATCCATTTGCACAGCATCACAAAGACTGAAACTACACAATATTTTAGTTTTTCCTGGATGTGATTTCGCAACTTCTGCCATCAGGTGTGTTTTTTATTTCAAGAGTGTTGATCTGTACTTGAAGAGAAAAAACAAAATAGTAGTCATAAAATAGTCATAAAAAAATAGTGCAACTTTTAAAAAATTTGACTTTATTTGAACTTGTACAGAATATTCATGAAATCTTGTAAACAAACAAGAAGCCAATAACGACCACATACAGACAAACAAAACTGATCACAAATGTTACAAACATGTTCAGAGACGTTTAAAAAACATGATTCAAATACAGATTTTTAACAATCACTCTCCTAAATAATG